TTTCTCAGGGTTGTGTTTATAGCAAGCAAACTTGAGAAATAAGGTAATATTTCCTTTTAGGTTCTGGGGAACCTGTTTACTACTTGCTATAAAACAGACAAGTTTTCCAAGTCCACTATTCCTCAGTCCAAATATACCCACTGTTTGTGTAGGACCCATCTAGGTACATATTTTATCACCTCCTGTGGAATTCTCCAAGTATAATACATATGCTGCTTGCTATTCGATGACCAATGTGATCTTCTGTTTTTGACCCCGGAGTCTCATGTCTTCTGCCAAAATCTATGATATGATAAAGGCTAACTTAGTTTGTAACTTGGGTAAAAATCGTACCTTAGATTTTTACAGTTGTTCATAGTTTTGGAGACAGTGGTGGGAAGTTGGTAAACATATGACTTTCTGGAAGAGAAAGGGCAAAGGTCTACCATTTGGGGAGAATAAAAGTCCATACTTATATTTCTTCCTTGCTGTCTGCCTTTCTTTCCCTGTGTTCTTACTGGGTGATAATGATCTTCTGATGATAGTGTTGTAGCCCGTGATATGCGCTTCTTGATCTATTATTTATACAGAAAATGGTGCCCAAACTCAGACTTATTCAGTGTACTTTTGGCTCCCACATCCGAATATATAACTAGTATTGATATTTTACATGCTTACACAGAATACTATGAATGCTCATACAGTACAGGAGACTTTCTCATTCAGGGACTGCCTCATGAACTGTTAACCTTCAGGTCCTCTAACAGAAACAACAAAGAATTCCAGGAGGAAGGACAATCACAACTTTAGTTACAGACTTCATTGCTGCTGGACTACCTAGAGAGGCTGTTTCCAAGTACAACAGCGCCACCTGCCTGACTGAGCCACCAAATGCACCCCTTTTAAAAAAGATTAGCTCTTGCTAAAAGGTCTCTCTGTGAACACATGACCCACAAAAGCCTTGTGACTCTACCATCTGACATTTACATTTTGGTGTAAGTTAACTAGAACTGACCAGGTGAAAGGGACTCAACAAACCTCTCTCTAGTCAATATTCAAGAGCATAGCTGCTTGGCCGTAGTGTGATCTCAGGTATACATGAAAAAGTGGCAGCTTCTTCAGGGCACACGGAATGCCTCATTCCATTACCTCAAGTAACGTTACAGCTCAGTTCACAGTGATTTTCCTAAACACCTGGGCCAAGTTATTTATATGTTCAGCTGTGCTCACTGAAGAGAGAGAGAGACAGAAAGTGAGAAATCACCCTTCCTCCGAGGTGAGGGATGACCCGGTAGTGTAAAAGCTGGTAGTGTCTTTGGGCTGCTGTTGCTGCCATTTAACCAAGTTCCATACAGCTGTGTAAAACCAATAGCAGGTGTGCTTATTTCCCCCTTGGCTAGAACTCAAAGCAATCCTTATTTCTCTGGCAAATATCTTACCCCTTGATGAAAATTGCTGTATCTATACTGACACTAGAGCTGTTGCTAATGGCCTGCTTCTCTGGTCTGCCACTTGGAGGACTACAGACTGGCAGGTGAGAGACACCACTCTTTGGGACTGCACACCGAAAATGCACTGTAGCTGCCAATCTGACAGTCTGGATTATTTCTCTAGATGCAGACAGTCTAGGCCTCTGCTGTGTCTGACTGGAGACAAGCTGCTTATCGAGACTACCATCCTGGGAACTTCCATTGCCATCTGGATCTACCATTGCATAGGAAATGGAAACACACCTACCGTTTGCACTGGGAGCATGATAAAGGACTCCTGTGTCCGATAAAAGCTACCGTGCCACACCTGACTTGTGACTTCTGTCCAGGGCTGAATTATTTGTCTTAAGGGAAGGAGACCACACTGCCTAGGGCCCTCACCTGCTTCTGGCAAAGTGACTGTGTGAGACCTTTGAGCTCCTTCTTAGGGCCACCATCTCCGTTCATACTTTTTCAGGTTATGCTTTTGCATCTCAAAGTCAGCTACCTCTGGCTGCACTCCTGTAGCCATTGAAGCTAGACTATTACACCTCTGGCTTTCCAGATCATCTACATGTAATTTGACAGCTGTGCACTTTATTTCACTGAGGCCGCCAGCATTAGGTCAGTTGTCAGAGAATTCAGTGAACAGTCCACATTGTCTGCCATTCACAGTCATCTGGTTTTGTGAGGACTGGAATGACCTCCTTAAAGATAAATTTTAAAAGATCTGACTCTACCTCTGTCATCTCCTGGTCCATATACCTAATAAAGGCAGTTTGATTTCTGGTGTGATCATCTTCAGACAGGTTTCATCCATTGGCCATCTCCACTGAAATAATCATGATAAAAGGTAGGAGTTATATAGAGCTTTTTGAAAATATAGGGTTCCATGCTGACCATTGCTGGACATTGTGCATCTTTCCTCCCCCCAAAAGCAAACTCAGATGGCCCTGGTTGGTATAGGTATAGCCTTCATGTTGTAGCCCAGCCAAAAGGAAGGAATTTAAACCTTAACTTGGATCCAGTTCCCTGGATTGTTTTGTTAGAAAGATATCGTTTTACAGCATAAGTATGGAGCACCATGTATTATTGAAGGTAGTACTGGTTAATTTCCCATTAAGTATAGGATATAGTTAAAATCTCACATGCAACATAATTATCATCCTCCACTGTCTTTACTACCCTCATTGCACTGCATAAAATTTTGCACAAAATTTTAAAGAGGTTAATTACTGTTTACTAATAAAATTTGATATATCAATGAGAAAAAAAATAAGATATGTTCCTAGATTATGAAAATAACCATCTTTCCACTACTCAACAAGTCCTATGACAGTGAACCATGCAGGCCATAGTGGAGTATGCAGCAGAGTTTATAAGTTTCTTAAAAATGCTTTGTCCTACTTGTACCTGACATTTCCAAATGAAAGATTTGTGTGTACACCAGCAGGTGGCATGGCAGTTGAAGCACTGGACTTCCCATGTGGCCATCAACATGAGACATGGGTCGAGTTCCAGACCCAGTGTCTTGAAAATCATACTGAACTCATGTGTGTTTGTGCCCCCCATCCCAGGAGAAGGGATTGTGGTATGGCCACCCCCCTGGGGGAATGGGAGTTATTTCTCACTGTCCCTCTCTCTGTATCTGTCTTGCTCCTCTCCAGCAAGCACATGTGCCTTGTGACAAAAACCTATGAACAAAACAAAAAGAGAGAAAGGTTTGCACGTGAGAATGATTAGAAAATATGCAAAATTAGCCTAATGTGACACATTTGGCAGTATATTGAACTGTAGTTCTGGAAGCCACACAGCCAACCATAGGTTCATCTGAAAACAGACATGTACGCACACATGCCCAAGATATAGAGGAGCTTGGGTACTGGGGAAAGGGGACACTGACATAATACAACTCTGGAGGGTGTCTAGCTCACACGCACTCACACTCTTATGTGTGTGCATGTATGCACTACCATGAATAAAATAAACTTGGAAAGAAAATAGGTGAAAATCCAGGTTCTGGTAGGCTCATGTGGTATGGGGCACGATGATTTCATGACAAGAAAGTACCTCAACCCTGGCACCTGGAGAGGGAACTCTTTAGGCTTTGGAAAGTGAAGAAGGAGATGTCTGACCCTACAGCCAGCACCAGCAGCTTATCAAAATAATCATTTGGTCTCCCTGAGTCTCCCAGCAGTGGTGGCTGAGAGTCTGGCCTACTATTAGGTTTGATGTCCTATACATCAGGGGTCCCCAACCCTGCCTCAGCCTCCCGAGTTCACTGGGATTACACATGCATGTCACTGCACCCAATCTTTACGTTAGACAAAGAATTAAACCCGGGCTTCCCATTTTGTCCCAGCCAGCGAAACAAAGCATCTTAGCCGTGTGTGCCGCCATGGCTAGGCTGAGAGATTGTTTTGATTTTTGATAAAAAGATTCAATTTCCATTTAGAACTTTGATATTGAGAATTTTAATACTTACTGTACACAGTTTTAATATTTTTAAAGAATTTTATCAATATTATTATTGAATTTACTACAAGGCATGTGTTCACCATAGACAAAATGAGAGAGAGAGAGTGAAAAAACAAGCTACCAAATCTGAGACTTGAACCACAGTCAGCCATGTCAGAACTCAATGCCTTAACCACCACCCCACCTACCAGCCCCCAAAATACTTTTCTTTATATCCAAACCACTATAATAATAAGTATATGAATATATGATATGATATGAACAAACTGTAAAGTTGGATAAATAGGATGTCAAGAAATGAAAACATGGGACCAGCAGTTAGTGTAATAGTTACATCGCTGAACTCTCATGTAGTTGACTGCGGTTCGAGTCCCGGACCCGGTGGCTTAAACTCATGCCAGGCACGTGTGCGTGCGTGCCCAAGATCTCGAGAGGAGAATGGAGGAAAAGAGATTACGGCATGGCCATCCCCCCTGGGCAGGTGATTTCTCACTTTCTATGTCTCTCTCTCTGTCTTTCTGGCGAGCGCATATGCCCTATAGCAAAAACCACTCCAAAAAAAAAAAAAAGAAATGAAAACAATTCTGTACAGATCTAGTATGTGAAACCTGAGGGAATCAATAGAAATGATGAAAATTCTGGATATTTAATTTCTTCTGTTAATTGTAAGCTTATTTTGTTTTATTTTGATCAGGTATGTTCCTTATGAGTGCCGAAATTTTTTTCTGTAACCTTTTTGATGCATTTTAATATGAATTTATACCAAACATAGTCTCAATATATTGCAATTTGTGTGAATTCTCAATTTTTGAATTCCGTTCTTTCATAACATATTAGTGGTAGCCAAAATTATTGAATTTTTTCAAACAACTACTGTAGTTATTGTTAAAAGAATTATGCATAAGTGGTAAGAAGACTACAATGACATATTCATATAACAAAATAAGGCACTCTTATATTCTAGACTTCTGAAACTTCTCTTCATAGATAAGAAAACAATAGGTTCTTGGATATCTTCCTAGAAATAACATATGTATAATTTTATTACATAGATTAGATGTGTACCCTCTATTTTTATTATTAATGGTGGCACACCTTACAACATTTGATTCCTTTTTCTCCCCTTATCTACTCTCCTATTTATTTATTTATTTGTTTGTTTATTTTGAGAGGTTTTTGCTATAGGGCACATGCACTCTCCAGAAAGACAGACAGAAAGTGAGAAATCACCCCCCACCAGGGGGGATGGCCATGCCGTAATCCCTTTTTCATTCTGTTGGGATCTTGGGCATGCACGCACATGTGACTGGCGTGAGTTGAAGCCACTGGGTCT